CTGGCGATGCGGTTGCTGGGGCTTCAATACAGCCTCAGAAAAGCTGCACTGATTCCCCCCAGTGCGGTTGTTCCATCCCCATTTAGGGCAACCTCAGGGTAGGCAGTGCACTTGCTGCAGTGTAGGGAAAAGGCAACTTCAAGTCACCTTTTCCTGCCTGTCTGCATAGCCCCATATTCTTCCAGTTGCATGACAAAACCCTAACATCGTCAGATTTGCAGGGACCAACTATACATAGGCAGACTGAAAGTTATTTCAGTATATTAAAGCAGTAGCAGCTAGTGCTCTCACTTTTGGCAGGACCAAATATCCTAACCTACCCCCTTTGCAGATGGCCTCAACCCCTTCCTCAGGATGTAATCAGCGCCCGTTGTTGCACATGCCAGGAGCTCCGATTACATCCTTCCGGCTCTGCGTCCAGACACGCTGAGATGGAAGAGATGCTGAAGAGGCACGCAATGCCTCTTGCGGTGCCCTTTCTGCACCTTGTAGAAGGAGTCCTATTTTAGCACTCCTTCCAGGGCCAGAAACAGAGTGCATTGGGGCCGAGGCATGTGAAAGCCTTGGCTCCAATCTGCAGCTTCTCGGGGCGGCCCATGGCCGCCTGTCTGCAGAGGCCCCCATACTTCAGCTTCTGGACCATTTCCCTAAAATATTCCAGAGACACCTGAAATATCTTTAGATTCTATAGTAAACTTTTTAAAACAGAAAAGCATGAGTCAGCTACATAAAATATTGTGCTACGGTTCAGTTTGGTCTTTGAAACCAACAAGAAGTTCTGCTGAGTTTATTGGAAATACTTACATTAAGGTTTAGTCTGCTTTCTACATTCTTTTGAAATAACAGATGCATTATCTTTCAGAAAATAGAATATTATTGCCCTCATCTTTGGCCTTAGAAATGACATGGTATTGTCACTTTAAAAAAAAAAAGTGTCCTTGGAAGCCTCACAAATTCATGTTGCTAACTGAGCAAACAGACTTTTCATGATTGCATATACTATAATTGATAATTTGCTAACTGCGTACATCATGTATCTTCATCATTTTTTGATACACTGATTTGGGCTGCTGGAATGTTGTTTGCCTTCAAGTTGTTTCTGACCTATGGTGACCCTATGGGACCTTATCATTTACATTTCTATATTGCTTAATAGTGAACTCAGCACTCTCTAAATCAGGGATGGGCAACCTTTCCCCTTTAAGGGCCGAGGGACTTCAGCTCCCAGAAGCCTCAGCCATGTTGGCCAATAGTCCCATGTTGGCCAATAGCTCCTGGGATTCTGGGAGCTGAAGTCCCTCGGCCCTTAAAGGGGAAAGGTTGCCTACCCCTGCTCTAAATGGTTTACAATCTGTAAGCCAATTGCCCCCCAGCAAGCTGGACGCTCATTTTACCAACCTATGAAATGATGGAAGGCTGAGTCAACCTTGGAGCCCAACAAACTCACAACGTTGTGGCTGCAGTTACACCATTTAACCACAGTGCCACCAGGGCTCCTTATGCAAGCCTTCTTATGGGGCTTTTGTGGCAAGATTTATTCAGAGACAATTGCCTTTGGTCTCCTCTGAGGCTGGGAGACTGACTTGCTGAAGGTCACCCAGTGGGTTTCCATGGCTGAGCAGGGATTTGAACCCTGGTTTCTAGAGTCTAAAATCACAGTCCAACACTCAAAGCACTACATCACACTGGCTCTCACCCAGGAGTGTAGTTATTTTCAAATAAGAATTCTACCACCAGCCATGAAAATTTATTTCAGTGTCCACATTTTTAACATTGCAGAGAGTGAGACACTGAAAACTGTCTACGCTTCAAATTCTTACATTTGCTGTATTTGCATTCTCTTGGCAACTTTCACTGTCCCTTTCTTATTATGCAAGGTGTAGAGAAAGTGGAGAAAGTAACCTTTAAAAGAAGGTTAGCGTTGTGGAAGATAGGGTGCTCTGCAATGGCAGGCACTTTGCTGACATCCTCGGGAAGGGGTTGGGGCATCCGGCTGCCCCTCTCCTTCCCTGGCTCCAAGACAGCGCTTTGAGCCGTCTGCAGAACCCCTTTGTCAATTTAGGAGGTGCAGATGTTTCTACTATAGAATAGATATGCCTTCCTGGATAAAGAAATCCAAGTTATTCACAGTCAGACCCTCAAACTGCACAAACAGCAATAAATTCTACTGAAGTGGAAGTCATTTGTTATAAATAGAAATAGGAAAAATGTGGTCTCTTTTTACATCCTACCAAACCTCACAACTCTTTCAAGGCCACTGTATCTTTCCCCAAATACTTTTCAAGTGGGTGGGGAAAAAACACCTGAGAAATATATATACACACAAGCTAACTTCCAGTTTTAAAGGTCTTCAGGAACAGAGGATTTTGTCAATCCCTCCAGATCCCGTGTGGATGAGACAAATATGTATGTTCTAACCAAAAGTCACTTCTGATTCCACAAATGGGGTGTCTGGTGAATTCAGGAACCTGAATATCATAATTCATTCACTCAAACAAACAAACAAAACAACCCCCTGCCCCCACAATCCAATGACAACTATTGTCTCTCTGTCTTATCCCTTTGTTTTTGGTATGTGAGTACATATGTTGTTTTATATCTTTTTAAAAACCAATACATCTAATTAGTTGGTGAAATTTGAGTGACTTGTTTCTTTGTTTTAGTATAGATCAGCTACACTGAGTATAGATCAGCTAATCTAGAGACAAAGTTCAGATATATGTCAGCTTCTTTATCTGGTTGAATAGAGTTCAATGTGTTACTTTCTACTTGTTTGTTTAAAGACTATAAAGGCTACTTTTTAGACCACATCTGATCAGAAGCATTTTAGCTTATGAAAGCTTATACCACAACAAATGTGCTGATTTTTAAGTGGCCATGGTACTCTTTCTTGTTTTTGCCACAACAAATTTGCAGAATAAATCATCATATAAAACTTGACTTCCTTAACATTTCACATGCCTGTGCTAAATAGTTTCATATCACTTTTTCAAGTAGCTACCTGAAAATAATACTAGAAAGCAGGGTTGGCTAGTTTAAACCATGAGTAGTTTTTTTTAAAAAAGGTCATTTAAACCAAATGACTTACTTAAAAAAGAAAACAAAAAACCACAATTCCTTCTTTGATTATTCAATTGATTGATTATTTTTCAATTGGTTTTCAAGTGATAATCGATATTATTCAAGTATTTTAACTGATTATTTAAAATTCTGACTATTACTACTTTGCAACCCTCTTGCTGGAACAACAATAACTGTAGGGTAATCCTTACAACTGATGGCAAATTTCTACTAACCAAGGATGCTATGCTCCTGTCCACAGCTAACAGAACTAAGATTGTAGTTAATATTTCACACATTTTACCTCATGCATCAAAAAATTAGATACCATTTTGACTCTTGAGTTAAGGATGATGAGCAAGCACCATTTTAATTTCAATGCATGTACCCTATTTCACAATATTTAGAGAACAATAGAAATAGCTAAACAAGAATCCAGCTATTCAAGAAACAATACTTGGGCCTGCAATCAAAGGGCTAGTATCATCAATAGGAATTATATATATAATATTCATACACA